TTCTTGAGTTCGGGAGCGTCCGCTCCCAAAGCCAGTGTCTCCAAAGTGGTTTCCTGCCCTCTCTTCTCCATGGCAGCCCAGCTCCGAAGCAGGCATTACCTGTTTCCTCACCATCTCACTGCTTTTACCTCTCCTCCAAAGGGCACAGAAATTAGCTGAAAGTTAATGGGAATTAGAGCAACATCAGCTCCCATGCTGATGTCTACTAGCAAATCAAAATGCCTGGAAAAGCATGCTGTAGAGTGCCTCTTTCTATTAGTTTTACTCTCAGCGCTTCCTCTTTCAGCACTGGGGTGCACCTATGGATTGGTTCCATGGCAAAAAAAAAAGGGGAAAATCCGATAAAGGAGCCACTGTGGCCTCCCTGCTTTTCCTTGTCATAGGTGCTCGCTGAGTTTTAATTCGCACTTACTGCATCAGGACTGGAAACTACGGGGCCTTTGGCAGTGGCAAGACAAAATAGGAAAGTATGGGAAAGGACAGCTGCAGCTATCAAGCGCTGATGCTAGTAAAGCTTACCAGCACGGCCAGTATGGACCAGTACACGATACCAGTACCGGTGTACTGCTTTTTGATACATTAGCAGGCGTAGTCTGTCAGCATCCTTTTGTGGGACCTATTTTGTTTGCAGGAAGCCTGTTTTGTTTCTTGCACACAACTAGTGAAAGCAAGCCAAGCTCCAGCATGGTTTCAACAGTCTGTTTGCAAAAGCAGACGGTCATCATTACTAAATATTGACATGGTGCTGAAAGAGAGAAAGCTTAATAAAATCACCGAGATCATTAACAGTGTGATAGCAATGTAATGCAGTGCATCGCATTTCTTCCTGAGCAGCTCCAGTCCAGCTCTGAACACAACTTAAGGCCTGAAGCTGCCTCTTGGCTGGGGCAGCGCCGGGGCAGAGCCAGCCCCTGCGGCAGGGGCGCAGGCTGGGGCAGGGAAGACGCGCTCAGCCCGACCGGCCCTCTAGCATGCGTCCTCAGTCGCAACTCGACGGGTGAAAACTCTGGGTCTCCTGCAAAGAGGTGTCTGTGGAAATAAAACTGGAAGTGTCAGGCATCTTACATCTGCTTTAGCCACAGCATTGTTTGCTCCAGGCTGAAGCCAGCGTGCTGACACGGCGGCTGTTCACTTGAAAGAACCGCGCGGTGAATTTAACCATTGTCGAATTACAGAAGAGGAATATGTACATTTTCACAGCAAGGCATAATGCTACAATACTTTTAATAATTTCCTCTGAATGACCGTTTCAATGTTTTATTGCCATATTCTACTACCTTTACGTGTGTACGATAGACTCTCATAATCGAGAATCATAGTATTTGCATCTTTTTTTTTTGTCTCAGTAGAGTAGCTACTCTTGCAGCTCAAAATCTTTCTTCAGCATGCATACAGCCATCTGATAATATTGCATAAACATTTCAAGGATAGAGCTATATAAATGCTTTTACTGAAATGATGGGTAATTCTTTCACCAATTTCAAAACTGCAGATGTGGGCAGTTTATATCAAATATACATATAATCAATATTAATTTTTTTGGAGAAAAATATGTTACGCATTTCCTGATTTTAAAACTAAACATTTTTGACAAGGGAAGATTTGAAGTAGAAAAGTGCTGGCCCTAGAACTATATGCTTTAGCATTTCCTGAATTTCCATACACATTTTTTATGACCATTTGTTTTCAAGTGAGACACCAAAATTTTCCTTTTAGAAAAGTTGCCTTTTAGAGAAAGAGAGAGAAAAATCCAATGGGAGCATCTATTGAAATTTACAGTTTTCTAATGTAATATACACAATTTAAGGTCCTATATAGTAATTTTTGATGCATGTGACTTTAATTGGTATTCCACATCATAATTATTTCTTACAGGTTGATGTTAAGAATTTTTCATGCCTATTCTAGGTGAAAAAAATAGCATCTGTTGCTGTGATTGTTTAGAGTTTGCAGTTAACTACACGATTTTTCTGCTTTGTGTCAAAGTTGGTGCACTTAGGATTTGTGTGGATTGTTTTCCTTATGAAATAATTGCTGGAAAATGCATCTTTGCCCCAGTTGAAAATACATATTTTTTATTTTTTTATTTTAAATTTGGAAACTCTAGCATACAGGAAAAAAAAAAGAGTTAAGAAATTTTGGCATGCTGACAACAATGAGAGAAGGAATTGTCTTTTGATGTTATAGCATATTTTGTATTTAGATTTCTCATTTGAAAAAGGCTATTTATTGATTACTTGATTTATTTTTTTGATTGGTTTCCTATGATCCATTTTCTCATCATATTCTGTCTATAATTATGTAAAAGCAAACCAGCAAACATGTATATTCTTAACAAAATGGCTCTGGACTGTCATCTGTTAGATTACTTGGGAGAGTCCTATGGAACTATCTTTCAAATATATGTTTGCAAAATCACAGTGGATTATGGATTTACTTTCTAAAAGCATTGGTTTTCAGGTGTGTTTTGGTACTCTTTTAAGTAAGGAGTACCAATAAAAGCTCTCCTACTGTGGATAATTCTTTTGAGGTGCATTACTGAGTTTTTTAATATTCGTTTGCAGTACTTGCTTCCTCTTTGTATTACAGAATGCATAATAACAACTTTCTGTCAAATTTCTTTTGTGCAGGAGGTCGTAATGAAGTTGTCATCACTGAAAATAACAACAGCATAACTGAGCAAATCACTGATGTTGTCAAACAGCCTGCCTTTATAGCTGGCATCGGTGGTGCATGTTGGGTAATTCTGATGGGTTTCAGCATCTGGCTGTACTGGCGCAGAAAGAAGAGGAAGGGGCTCAGCAATTATGCTGGTAAGAACAGTAACTGTTTATTACCATCTCATCAAGTTCTATCATGAAAAGAACAGGTGCTGTTAAACCTACTTAAAAAACATGTTGAACTTACAGCAAAGGTGGCCTGGGTGAATTTTGTATGCTTGTTTTAAATGTATGCTGTGAAAATGCTAGTGTATGAGAAGCTTTAAATGCATTGCTCAGTACCACATTTCATCATTATCATAAGACAGTCTTTATTTTTACATGTCCAGCGCATCTAGCATAAAAAAAGTACAAAGAGGATTAACTGTACCTCTTGCTCCTTGCTCAGAAGGCACTCTGTTAGCAGTCTGGCTCCATTTACGTGCTCATATGTGAATTAGACTAGACCCTTACAAGGAAGGTTAGAAAGCGTATTTGGTCTTCTCCTTCTTCATTCCCATGCATTTGCATGTCTTTGAAGCCATGTGCGTGGGAAATTAATGGAGGTACTTAATCAGCGACTCCTTAGCGATAACTTGTGGAGAAGAGGGTGATGTATTAGACAGAGAAGTGTGGTCAAAATTTACCTATGGCAGAAGCCATAAAAAGTTTGGTCTTGGAGGTAGAACACCTTCGAACACCCTCACAGTGTGATCCCTCTTGCACCAAATGTGTTGCTCTAGATACAAATTACTTTTTGAAAACGACATTTGCAAAAATACATTGCCCAAATGAAAATATTTTCTTCCTCCCCCCCCAACCTGTTTGTTTTGTGTATTATTCCGTGCTTCAGGATTCTTACGGATTTTTAGGAAGTCAGGTGAATTACCATAAAATGAGTCACTTTGAAGCCTAATTTAACACAAAAAAGCGCTGTTCTTCAAATATTGGAGTAGGTTCTCTTATAGTGCTTATTATGTAATACATTTAAAAAGAGAAAACATTTCCTTTTTGAGCAAGATTTGCACAGTTGAGGACACAGCATATTTAATGTTGACATTATGTCACACTACAGTTACACTAGTGCTCTTCTGTTTACAAGTTATCACATGCAAACCTGAGGACACAGGTTTCCTAAGCGGCTGAGCATCTTTAACTACCTGCCAAAACCCAGCATTCATTCCCTGCTCCCAGACAGACAGTCCTACGCCTTCTCACCTTGGCATTAGCCATCATCAGACTCCTCAGTGCCCTGACTGGGCTCACTAAACCAGAAGAAAACTATTCCATGTCATTTTTCACTCCTTCCTGCTGGCTTAGTTTTCCACTGGTTTAGAGAAAGGAAGCAGCCCAAGAAGAAATCAGACGGGCACCACAGCCAGCACAGTGGAAGCAGAGGGAGCAGAGACCCTTTTGGTGGCTCTTGGATGGACCTGGTTTCTGTGGAACCTCACCTCGCGTCACCACGTGGCCTGTATCAGTCATAGGTTATGCTTTTTGCCGAGGTGTTTTTTCCTTTCCTTTAACAGCAATGACCTTTACTCTCTGAGAGGTGGGGTGGTGTTAATTGAAAAACTAATATGTATCACACACACTTACAGATGTGTTTATATGAAATATCAGTCTAGATCCCAAGATTTTTCATATCAAGAGACAGCTGTACTGTTGCTCCTCTTACGAAACAGTCCTATACATAAACTTTGGACACAAACTAAGACTACTCTTTTTTAAAAAAGCAGAATTATTAGCCCTGTATGTGAGTTGGCGTGTTGGGGGGTGGGGGAGAGATTGGGAGCAAAGTCTTTTATAACTGCAAATGCATAGCTGTAAATAATTATAACACTCATTATAAACAGTGTGTCTCCTGCAACTCATTCCTTCTCATGATGTTTACTGCATCTAAGTGTGATGTGAATGTTGCATCATGACACAGAATTCCCATTATCAGAATTATTAAATAGTGTATGCTTTCAGCAAGGAAAGTTCATTACAGATCATGCTTCAAAAATCATTCTAATGTTTACAATTTGGAGAACAGCATGTCCACACAAAAAGTCTTGAAACGTGACTGTAAGAATTCACTACTCACCTTTCCAACCATCATTTCTCATTGGCTGCTGGCTGGTTAGTGCTTTAAGCTCAACTGTTATGTCCTGCTTATGATATTCAACCACAAATGAGTAAATTCCAGAGGAAACTCGTGCCCTGCAATTAGCGCTTGTTATCGGGGTGTGTAACTCACAATGTGTTTGCTTTCTTGTTTTGCAGTTCAGTCCTTCACCTTCACCCCTGCAGGTACTGTCCATTAGTCTGTCTCTTACCTCACCAACACATCATTGCAAACATTACCTATTTAAGTGTTTATCAGCATTTGAGGTATGCAGAATTAAAAGCAACTACAAGGAGAAACACTTCTGCTACCTATCTGTGATAAAAATGTAGCATTTGTTCTCATAGTGATTCCAGGGGAACATAAAATCTACCACCATTAATGTCTCTGTCATTATAATTCTGCATACTTCTTACTCATCTAACTCCTTGAAATAATGCAGTTTTGAAAGTAATTTGCAGGACAAGATGCTTGAACTAACTTAACATAAACAAGCATTAGTCACATATAACTGATTTTTTATTTTAAAGCTCAAAAATGTTTCTCAAGCATTTTTGATTTCTCAAGGTTTAATTTCTCAAACATTTTTGAAGATCTAACTGGAGAAATGGAACTTACTCCCACTTTAGCTGTCAGTTGTGTATACTTTGACCTTATCGTGAGGTGTTCAAATCTGCAAGCGATCTAGTGATCAACCTATGCACGCACTGCCTTTGCAGTGTGTTTGAAATTGAAGCATTTGCTTTTCTTCCACCTAACCAATTCAAAGCTGATATCCTACTTTTCATATCTTTAATAAACATAGCATACGGTAGACCATTATCGTAAGCGTGATTAAAGATATGTGAAGAATAAACAAAGTGTGGCTGAGACAGCAGGTTGCAAACAGCTTAGTCAACATATGGATAGCCAGGAAAAATAGAGTGTACAATTAATAGTAATAATTAATACACATAATTAGCTTCTGCTCTCATACCTAAGCTTGAGTTCAAAAACTCAAAAATAATTATATCTCAGTGTTACAGTGTAAAAGGCTGATAAATCTTAGCATTTTCCAGCAGAAGTCCGTAAGGTTTTTTGCACGTATCTTGGCCCCTCAGTTGCAGTTACCAAAGCTGTGTCTTCTTCTGTCCCCTCTGCCATCCACGTGATAGAGGCCGGTCTTCCTACTGCACTGCCAAACTGGTCCTCATGCTCAGCGAGCTGCTTTCTCAGTCTTGCTTATCTTCAGCCAGAGCTTGAGTGTTTGGCTTAGCAGGAAAGAGCAGATGACTCTCGAGGCAGATGAGTGAAGGTGGTGGTGTCTGTCCCAGGGGCCTGTGACATTGCAAGAGAAAAGCGTCCCTGTGGAGAAGCTCTGGGGGCTCAGGAATTGCTCCTTTGGCTTCCAGGCATGTTTGTTCAAGTTAGCGTTAAGTTGTGGCGCAACACATCCCACCCTGAATGCTTTACTTGCTTTTCTTTGTGACACAACATTGGATTTTTTTCCAAAATGAAAGAGTACATCTTTGCATGATGATGCCACTGTCAGCTGTCTGTAACTGTGGTAAGTTTTCTCCGTTGTCTTTGTAGCATACGTCGGCATGACACAGGGTTGTGCTGGAGCCACAGGGACTGTGCACGATTCAGTGCAGTTCATCCACACGTGCTGGGCAACTAGGATATGTCAGAGGCACTGATAACAATTTGCTTTTTTAAAAATAGTTTTGACATCTCATACATAGCCCTGCTGCTTGGTCTCTAATCGTTTCTGAAGGCACCAAGACCCTAAGTCATCCAGCAGTCAAGTCCAAAACAGTCATTAACTTAAAGAAAATTATGGCAGCACATAGTCCATAGTTTTTATCTTTATATCCAGGTTTCCCTAAAAACCATCTTTATTTCTCTAATATTTGAATTTACCATTGGTAAAATCATTTAGACAAACCTATCTATGTTTGTGGAGGTTTTATGACACAACTATATGTTGTTCCCTTCAAAGTTATGATTCATAAACAGTTTGGTTTCAAATCTAAATATGTAGACACTGGAATGTAGCTTTCAGAATGTCATCAGACACAGCTGTCAAGAAAGTTTTACTAAAGATTGATTTATCCTAATATACTCAGATTTTAGAAGGTGCACACTTTTTGGTCAGACATCTGCTTTAAACTCTTCCTTCAGAAAGCTGCAGAATGTGCAGATTTGACTGTGTAATAGAGAGAATTGAAAGTATCAGTGGAACATTCATATTCTTACTCTATTTCAGACACAACCCCCCTATTTTTTTCAGTTATTTCTGATGTAAATGTTTTTGGGGTTGGGGTTTTTTTCCCAGTTTTATTAGCATATGTGTAGAACTTTAAACACTAAAAATAGCTGTTCAAAAGTCTGGATTCTGCAGTTACATAATTACTTGCTAAAAATGTTCTTTGGAGTCATTTTCAGATTATGGGCCATTCACTGGGACTATTCATTATTTGTATTCTGTTATTAGTCTCCTAAGAGGTATAATTTCTGCATATGACTAAACTACTGTAACATTTTGTGTAGGAGAAGAGCAAACAGCAAATATCATGCTATTGGTAAAGATTTGTACCAGAGAAGAATAATTGACTGGATTAAATTCATCAAGCTTTCTGTCTTTGTGAACATTTTCATAAGCACTGATCAACTGCTCAGAAGGTCACAAATAAAATGTGACACTGAAAATCATAGCTAAATCTTTTTACTTGTTTTCAGTTGAACTGGCTCTGGTAGTTACTGAGCCACAATTCTGTACATCACTATTCTTCCATTTCTCTTTCGCCCATCGTGACTCACCAGGCATTGATTCTGGGTAATACCAGTACTAAAAACCATATGGGTTTTGACTATGTTTGTTAGATTACTACTGGTAAGTAGTAGTGTCATCATCTGTAGCTGCACAAGAAGCGTACATTTTTGGGACTATGACAGACTATCAGCAAAACCAAATCTGGCAGAGAGACTACATACAAATGTTACTCCTTTTCAGTGATCTGTTCTGTGATATAACGAATGGGTTGGCCTTACTTTTGCGAGTTTCTGCAAAAGCTTAAGTACTGCTGCCCTGATTTTTTCTATTTTTACAGTTACCCTTTACTCAGATTTCTTGGCTATAAACACACACTGTGGGTTTCTATGTAATACAAGCAGAGATAGATGGCACAGAAGAGATATCTGACCACTTCTTCTGTAACAGATGAATTATTTCGTTCCAGCATTACAATGACAGAACTGACTTTGTTTATTTTGTACTGGAAGTTGTAACTCTCTTTTCACATTTTGGGATAAGAACTTATAGAACAAAGGCTCAGAATCCATTTGTAGAAATAAGAGAAATTTCATTTATCTGCTTATCTTTCCCATGCCCTCAAACTCATTGTTGTGCCAGTACCCACTCGCTTGAATACTCAGGTGAATTTTCAAGTGTCTAGGCCATTAGTCATGCGAAGAAAGTAAATATGTATTTTCGCTTATGAGTAGGTAAGCTTATTTAGTGACTAGTGCTCCTTGGGATTAAAGATTTCATGAAACTGAGTAAACAAAAACAAATTAAAAATAGACAGAGAATTATGGAATGCTACACATTTTATGCACAACTCCTGAAAGTGTTAAGTGAGGATAAATTATTTGACAGAATCATCCAAAGGTAGACATAAGATTTGATGGAATTTTTATATGCTGATTATCTGTTCTGAGTTAATGCTTATTAAAAGAGGATTAATCTACATTCATATTTGAGGAACAGCTTATCAGAAAAAGGAATGAGACTTGGCTGGCAACATTAAAGTTTTCATTTGCAGTAGGAAAATGTGGCCTACTAGAGATAGGCATACGGAAAGCTTTCTAAAGCTTTTTAAAGCTTTCTTGCCTCAGAATGTCAACTTACTATACATTCATATTTTTCCAATTCTAGCAGGCATGAAGATTAAGTTTAACCTTGTCAGATAATATTAATAAATGGTATGGGTACCTCCTTATATATTTAATAAAAAGCATGTGAAAAGCTCCTTAACGTATGCTGTTCTTCGTACAAATATATACAATATAATTTCCTTAAATATTTATGCATTTAAAATGCACTTTGGATTATATTTCTGCATTTTTACAGTCATTGAAGTATAAGCTGGTGGGGATTCCTTCAAAATCTCTGTATGCAGAGGTTATTTTTTCATCTTCGTTTGAAAACCAATCTCATCCCTGCAGGTCTTCAGCCTTTCTAAGAACATATATCAGATGCAAAGAGTGCTGAAAGAGCTTTTTTGCTTCCTCGGTGATAAAAAGCAAGGGAGATGGGTGGGTCAGTGATAGGGACATCCTTCCCTTCCTCCTCTTACATTGCCCCTTGAAATTGCTCTGCTTCTTTTTAAAGTGGAGACAGGATGAATAAAGCCAGCTGTCTGTGTGTTTTATTTTTACAGTGACATTTACAAGCCTGCATTGCATTAAGTATGCTCCTATTCAGGCGTTTAGACTTGTTTCGTAATTGCAGAAATCAAACTGCAGGCAAAAATGCTGACAAAACGTACGGCAGGAATGATAAACACAGTGCTTGTGTTGGCAGCCTGACCATATCTTCTGTTGTTAGCTGTCTTTCCTTTCACAATATTGATGCTAAAAGAAAGGCACCTTCTCTCTCCAGCCTCAGGTAGTCCATTTATGAATGGCATTAGGAATATGAATTTTTTTCTGTAACATTCTGATGACATGTTCTCACTTCAAGAGGAATTTTGGCCAGCTTAGTTGATATTCCGGAGCCTTTTCCACCAACAATAGTAACTAAAATACTTTCTTGTTTATTTTCTCATGAAGATTATAACCATCCGTGCATTGGTATACAGGGAGGAGGGTAAACGGAAGAATCTGTATTCCTTCCCAGTTCCATACACATCACATAACCCAGGCACAGCCTTCCCCAGGAAAAAACAATGTCACTGCAAGACAAGCTCTTTTTCAAATAAACTAAGCTGAAACTTTCTTCTAAGAACAGTGTTTATATTGGGAGGGTGTAAGAATATTTAATGTTGGAAAAAAAAGAGGAAATAGTTACTACCACCAGGATACACAGACAGAAGAAAAAAGAGCAAACGCTGTGATAGCTGTGTCTTCTCAACAAGCTCATATGCCACAGCCAACCTGCAGCAACTATGGCTCTAGCGAAGAGGTTTCGATGTCATGTCTTCTTGATATGTTTCTCACAGCATGCCTTGGAGTTTTTTCCATACCTCACTACACGGAAAATAAAATGTGTTTGGCAAACATTGCTGCAATCTCCTACTAGCTACCCCCATTCTAGCTTCCTTTTATAAAGTTGCACAAGGGATATAAATATTTGAAGAATTGATTTTTTTCCCCATATGACATGCATAGGTAAACTCTCACACACCTGTCCGTGCTATACAATTGGTGACAATATTACTTTAAATTTATTTCTGGTAGATGATAGTCTAAACAAGAGTATTAATCCCAAGAAGTCTTCAGAAAATATGTTGCACTGGAATTCCCTTAAATCTGTAAACTACTTATAAGGGTTGTTACTGAATGCACCTTTGTTTCTCATTTGCCTTATTTCTTGTCGCTTTGACAAATGCAAAAAGTTGGAGAAATGGAGGATTAATTTTGAAGGGGAGGAGGAGAAAGGAAACCGCATCTATTCTACTTTTGACCAACGTACCTTGAAACATAGCCAGGCAGTACCCACCTCTTTGCATATTCACACGTGATATCCACAGCACTTCAGATTATTCACTTTTAAGCAATGAGTGATACAGTCATTTGACAGCCTGCTAGAAACAACGTGACTGAAAGTAGCATCAGCTCTAAAATTAATTAGCTGCAATGTTTTACCGTGTCTTGCTTTTCAAAACAGACTTTTATTTAATACTTCCCATACTTGCATTTTGATTTTCTTTTCATTAATTGGTTTGATTACATCCTTTCAAAATCCAGCTATTAACCATTTTGATGTGACATATGACTGCAGTGATTTTCTGATATTGATATTCGTCTGTTCTGCAGTGAAGGGTAATTAATCACCCTACCCAAGCACTCTTCCAGCAGGGCTTCCAGAGGGGCCAGTATTGTCCCCTTTGCTGAATGTAGACTGTGAAATTATCCTAGGAGTTAATAAAGTGACAAGAATTCTATAAGGTATCAGAAGTATTTTCCCAGTGGATTTACGTCATTGCCAATTTTTTTAATGATCACAGCATTTCTATTGGGTGTAGTAATTTTGTCTGATTAGAGTGGCGTATAATAAAAAGTCTAATCTTGAATTAGGGTAGTTTGGATTAATATTTGGAAAATCTTACGAATACTCTGGGAGCTATAGTTTCGCGGTGGAAATGTCCATCTTACGAAGGTAGATAGTATTTCCAAACCAAAGCCTATTTTAAATTAAACTGGCCACAGACTCTTCCATTCCTGTCTGAAATTTGAACCCTCGTCTTGTCAGAGGCTTGTAGGGATGCAGGTGTCCAGGACATTGATATAATTTAATAGTCTGCCTTATCTATGCCTGACAATAAATAATGGGATATTGTCACTGAGAACCAGAGTAGTCTGTTGGCCTTGATTCAAAATATTTGCCAGTGCTTCAAAAAGGAGCATCAAATGTTGTCAATTAGCATCTCACCAGTAATGAGGGTTTACCTATATTGCCCTGAAATGTAATCCTGTTAATAAGATAGATAAGGGATAGGCTGGTTTTTGTCAAACACTCATGAATGGAGCCTTGAAACCAATTGTGTCCCTCTGAACGTATCCCTAGCACGCCCCATGGCAAGACTGGAAACACTTTTTCTTCCCAGTGATGGTGGCGTGTATGCATTTATGCGTGGGTGCTGGTTCTTATACTGTACTTCTAATGGAAAAGGTGCAGCTGTATGCTTTTTTTCAGCCCTTCAGCTCTAATAAAGCTGCCACCTCTTTGCATTTGTCCTGGGAAATGGCATATTTGTGTGGTGACATTATATTACTGCATTACGACATGATGTTATTAACTCACTGGCGCAATGTCATTATGTACTGAAGCAAAAGCATGCCAAGAAAACAATTTCATCACATGGCACAGTCTTGCAAGGCAAAGTCATATGAAGGGGCTTGTGGTAAATTCAGGCCTTTTGCCCAGGCGGCTGGTTTGCCTCGCAAGCTACAGAGTGAATTGATGTTAATCAATAACGTGCACTGAAATCCTAGAGAAATTGTAACCCTAATGTGTTTGATCCTTTTCTTATAATTTCTGTACTTTATTATGTGATGATGCCAAGAGGCCTCCCATCTTGGACACTGAGCAGTTTGAATTGTTACTTCTAATTATTACTAATTGATTTTTCCCTGTCTTATATGTGTGTGTGCGTGTGTGTGTGTTTGTTTGTTTTGTTTTTCCTCCCAAAACACAGTCACTTTCCAAAGAGGAGATGGAGGACTAATGAGCAATGGAAGGTATGTTTCTTTGTATAAAGGTCTTTCTGTCGTGTTTATTTTTAAAATTCGGAATCTGAAAAACGCTGTATGCGATGCACTTGCGTAATAACCGATCATTGGGAAGACTGACAATGCTAGGAGGAGTTAAGTAGCTTACCACAAGGTTTAATGACCTATCTGTTGTGCACTTTGGAGGAATCAAGCCCAGATGTTTCGTATCTCCCAGATGCCCTGGAAGAAATGAGTAGTAAATATCACAAGGAATGTGTTCATTTGTTACCGGGATGTTTATTGCATTAATTAGACATTAGCAAATGAAGTTGCTGTTGTTTAAGACTCCTTATTGGCTCCCCCTAAATTGCTGTGAGTGAACAATTACACTTAATCGATCACGAAATAAATGATTCATGGATGATGAATAGGCTGTAGATTGATAGGACTGGATTCCACAACTTTGGCTACTCAATTGAAATTGATAAAAGCTGATAACGGGGCCATATATCCTCATCTATTTTCCCTTTGCCAATATGGAGATTGTAATTAGGCCCTGGTAATAACTTCCAATCTCCCGTTTAATCAATATTTTAGCAAAAAGAGATTAGGCCTAATGAGAGCGAGTAGATGTGGCAAGAAAGCGGTGGGGTCTTTTTATTGCCGTTGCCATAGAAACCGATGTTTCTCTTAGGGATTGTACCAGGCGGGGGTCTATAAAGTACAATGATCGGAGATGTTGCTCCAACTTCAGGAGTGCATTAATAACCTAGAAAAGCTGCAGAACTGTGGATGCTTTTTTGTTTTCGTTTGGGGGAAGGGGGTGTCTGCAGGAAACGATTTGTTTTCCCTGTTAGATGATACAAATACAAATACAAACAATCCACCTGCCTTGCTAAGTTTCTGGCTGTTTATCCTGGGGTGCGAGAGACATGATGTCTGATGGCCCGAGCGTACCTTCTCTTTCAACATACTCACTGTTTAATACTGCTTTCAAAGCTGGGAATTACAGGGATATAAAAGCCATGCAGTAGTGGCAGATAAAGATAGCTGTGGACTTTCCATTAATCCTACTCAAACCTGTTTGCCTCTAAACCATCCAAGAGTGCTCAAAGAAAGAGTTACCAGCCTGTAGATGACAGGCGTGCATTTCGGATGCAAAGGAAGGAAGAAATAGTAGCCCAAAGTCCTGGAAATGGCTGATACGGAGCAATCAGTTTGAGTGATGGCTCCCTTGAGGTGGTAATTTATCATGCAGCCCGGGTGTAGGATCCCGTGATGGTGCTGCCTAACCCCTGTTTCGCACAGACAACGGAGTTCATTTGGATTCTGGCAGAATCACAACGGATGCCTAGTCCCACTTCTACTGACAAGGTTGATTTGTATATATCCTTAATTAACTGCTCAAGGTCTTTAAATCATCAAAGGCTACACAATTTTAATTTGAAATAAATTGAAGTCTCCTAAACTGTTTGTTACCTACAGTGTTAGGAGAACGGTGATATCGTCTCTTCAATCACTAGTTGTCTCGTAGATATTTTAATTTTGTAAAAAA